GAGTCACCGCAGATAGCCCATTGTATAGCTCTGGCTCTGTTCCAGACGTAGATGGCTAATATATGAGATTCGAGTCACCGCAGATAGCCCATTGTATAGCTCTGGCTCTGTTCCAGACGTAGATGGCTAATATATGAGATTCGAGTCACCGCAGATAGCCCATTGTATAGCTCTGGCTCTATTCCAGACGTAGATGGCTAATATATGAGATTCGAGTCCCCGCAGATAGCCCATTGTGTAGCTTTGCGCTAAATAAACAAAAATAACTTTTCGATCTGTTAATATAATTTGCTTATTAAACTACACAATGCCACAGATTTAAAATAATATTATAAACGTTTCTGTAATCATTCCACTTAAAATAAAACAACAGAAAAAAAAAACATCTGTATACAGATGAATTAGTTATAAACCAAGAGAAAAAGTAGAAAGGAGCCCGTACATAATTTTGTTAGCTGAAATCACGCTTGACGAGGATAATTTTCCTGGTTTTTAATTATAAAAAAAAAAATCTGTAAACCTGCCAGCTGAATGAAACCTCGCTGTAAAACACGTGTACGGTCCAGTAGAAGTAATGACATGAAAACATTCTCAGGCTTCATCGTTGCTTGGTAGAAGTGTACGTGTTCAAGGGAAATCTTTTTCAGTAAACAGGACATACCTAAATATAATAAAGATGTTTTTTTGTCGCGTGTCTCATGATTTTTGCATCAAGTATATTAGCTTGTACTGGACAATAAATCCTGAATAAATGAAGTCGCGAAGTTGATGATGGAAAATGTCCTCTTAAAGGCTATAGACTCTTTTTTTTTTTATTCTACCAGATGTTGTATAGTTATGAATCTATATTATTAGAACTTTATACAAACGATACCTTCAACTTTTTTTTTTAAAGCTAAATATTATTCCAGAAACGTAATATTTTGATTGATTATATTGATACCGTATTCTCGCAGTCTAAAACCACGATACTGTTAGTGGGTTAAATGGAGGTGCATTCTTACAATTCAGGCCATTATTATCTGTTCACTGTTTGATTTCGGTTTTTATATTAATAACCATCACGTACGCAGGCTTACTTAATTTTGCAGCATAAAACTATTGGCTGTTGTCATTGTTGTTGTTCTTTTCCGTAGTATTCTTGTCATAAATGAATTGCCCCCCCCCCCAGTGGCACAGCGGTATGTCTGCGGACTTACAACGCTAGAAACTACCACGGGTATCGAAACCCTTTGTTTGTTTGTTTTTAATTATGCACAAAGCTACACAAGGGCTATCTGTGCTCTGCCCCATAACCCTCTGGCTCTTACGTAGTTATTACAGTCCGCGTATGAACTCCGAAATGTGCTACGTCATCACCAGTTTATGTATTGTGTAGAAATTAGGGTTCAATTTTGCCTCCACCCCCACCCCATCCTCTACATATTTTGCTGAGATGGCGCCACTGGCACTAAGAGAGGTTATCATACTGTTTTCTCTCGGTTGGTCTGAAAACATTACACACTATACAACGCTACCCATTTTGTTGTTATAAATTACTAGTCAAAGAACAAAGAACAGAATTGCGATAATTGATTACTTGCGTTATTTTAGTATGTATTATATAAAGTCAATTTTTTTTATGTCTTCATAAAATAATATATTTTTTAACATACAAATATTTATATATTCTAGTCTTTTATAAAGTGAAATGTAGGACACACTTTCCTGATCGAAAGGAAGTTTAATTCTTCTTACGTTGTTTTTGGATATTTTTCTCTGGAAAGTTACATATACAGAGAAGATCCCTCACCAGAAGGGACACAAGCGGAAATAACTATTCCTTCGACTACAAGAGACGACAGCGCCATCTACACATGTATAGCTCGAAATGACTATGGAGAAGACAGAATGAACATTCAAGTCAATGTTCAAGGTACGTGTCGAAAGTTTCTGTTGTTTTTTTTCTTAGTACAAAGCTACACAATGAGCTATTTTCATTCTGTCCATCGTTGGGGAATCGAACCCAGGATTTTTGTGTTTTTTTTTTGTTTGTTTGAAGTTAAGCACAAAGCTACACAATTCAAATTCGATGACGAGGAACCAACTTTGAGATTAATAATGGTTGGAGACGGCTTGAATGGGTAATGAATCGGGGGAATCGAACCCAGGATTTTTGCGTTGTTTTTTTGTTTGTTTGAAGTTAAGCCCAAAGCTACACAATGGACTATTTTCATTCTGTTCATCGCGGAGAAATCGAACCCATGATTTTTGCGTTGTTTTTGTTTGTTTGTTTGAAGTTAAGCACAAAGCTACACAATGGACTATTTTCATTCTGTTCATCGCGGAGAAATCGAACCCATGATTTTTGCGTTGTTTTTGTTTGTTTGTTTGAAGTTAAGCACAAAGCTACACAATAGACTATTTTCATTCTGTTCATCGCGGGGGAATCGAACCCAGAGGTTGTTTTTGTTTGTTTGTTTTAAGATAATCACAAAGGTACACAATGGGCTATTTGTGCTCTGCCCACCACGGGTATCGAAACCCGGTTTCTAGCGTTGTAAGTCCGCAGACATACCGCAGTGCCAACTGGGGGGCAAAGGGCAAAAGTAATTTAAAGATATCAAGGCCTAAACATTTCAAAAACAAAGTAAAGTAAAAGGAGAAAGAAATTTTTATGAGGGCAAAAATAATTTCTGTAAATATTTCCAAGTCAATAACGTATTTTATTTAACTCTAAATAGTACAATATTTTTTTTTTGCTCTTACATTTCTAACATCTAAGATCCTTAACGTACTGTTTTTCCACCAGAGGTCCCTGATACACCACATAACATTCGAGTTGAAAAAGTAACGAGTCACGAAATATCTCTGATATGGTCACTTCCGTATAATGGTAATTCTGAAATCACGGAGTTTCAAGTTCAATGGCGGGAAGAGCACGGTGAGTGTAAGTTTAGAAAGAAAATAATTGAACAGTTCGACCAGTTGTTAAAGAATCTGAAGACATTAGAAATTAATCAGAGAAATATTATCACCGAGAATGAGATAAAGTAATGTAAATTTAATGTCCTGATGTAACAAATAGTTGATAATTGTTGTAAGAAGAAGAAAAATTATACTTATATTGTTTTATTAGTTACTAAATCAGTCTCTTTTATTTCAGTGAATATAAGATACATCGAGATTACAGACCCTAGTTTTCTTTGTATTCTTTCAGATCAATGGAGCCAAGTAAACCAAAAATTAATGTCAGGGACTGAAACAGCTGCCACTATTAGTAATCTCAAACCTCAAACTCGTTACAGATTTAGGGTTAGAGCAACAAACTCAATTGGGGTTGGTCGTTTCTCCAATGCAATTCAAGAGGAGACTGCGGCAGAACGTAAGTGAAACGAAAAATGCTTGCTAATTATCTATGAAATTCCCCCCTCCTAAAAAAAAAGAAAATATGCAGAACGTAAGTGAAACGAAAAATACTTGCTAATTATCTATGAAATTCCCCCTCTCCTAAAACAAATATGCAGAACGTAAGTGAAACGAAGAATACTTGCTAATTATCTATGAAATTCCCCCTCTCCTAAAACAAATATGCAGAACGTAAGTGAAACGAAGAATACTTGCTAATTATCTAT